CCCGTAGTTGTCAGCTGAATGAGCGAGCCCTATATTCTTGCTAAAGGCTCCCACGTTACTCGGCTCGATAGTCGCACCAAAACTTGGTACGAGCAAAATAAAACGAAACTTAAACAGCTAAACTTATATTTTGTATGAGTTTTAAAGGTATAATCGGTCATACAAGAGGCAAAATTTATGCAAAAGTGTACAGAGGTCCGCGCTACTCTGAGAATTCTCTATGTCTGACCCGGGGGTGAAGGCCCCGCGCGTGTCTCCCACAACCGAGGTGTAGTTCTTGGGGAAGATAATTTTTGAACAAGCAAATAACGCAATGTGACATGTGGACTTGATTTTCAGAATGCTGCATATAATCAAAAGGTTGATTTGCAACCTTGAGAACATAGCGAAACCCTCTTTCTTCTAACTTCTAGTTCATAAAAATCCCCAGTCAATGCTCGTCATATAAACACGGCAAGCAACATTAAACACCAGGAACCCCACAAAACAATAAAACAAATAAAGTCTAAACGCAAGTGCACCGATTTCAATTGGCCGGCGAAACAGTTTCAGTCAAGATTTTTTCAAAACTGTATCCTAGAAACAATTTGACCCCCGTAGTTGTCAGCTGAACGAGCGAGCCCTATATTCTTGCTAAAGGCTCCCACGTTACTCGGCTCGATAGTCGCACCAAAACTTGGTACGAGCAAAACAGAACGAAACTTAAACAGCTAAACTTATATTTTGTATGAGTTTTAAAGGTATAATCGGTCATACAAGAGGCAAAATTTATGCAAAAGTGCACAGAGATCCGCGCTACTCTGAGAATTCTCTATGTCTGACCCGGGGGTGAAGGCCCCGCGCGTGTCTCCCACAACCGAGGTGTAGTTCTTGGGGAAGATAATTTTTGAACAAGCAAAAAACGCAATGTGACATGTGGACTTGATTTTCAGAATGCTGCATATAATCAAAAGGTTGATTTGCAACCTTGAGAACATAGCGAAACCCTCTTTCTTCTAACTTCTAGTTCATAAAAATCCCCAGTCAATGCTCGTCATATAAACAAGGCAACCAACATTAAACACCAGGAACCCCACAAAACAATAAAACAAATAAAGTTTAAACGCAAGTGCACCGATTTCAATTGGCTGGCGAAACAGTTTCAGTCAAGATTTTTTCAAAACTGTATCCTAGAAACAATTTGACCCCCGTAGTTGTCAGCTGAACGAGCGAGCCCTATATTCTTGCTAAAGGCTCCCACGTTACTCGGCTCGATAGTCGCACCAAAACTTGGTACGAGCAAAATAAAACGAAACTTAAACAGCTAAACTTATATTTTGTATCAGTTTTAAAGGTATAATCGGTCATACAAGAGGCAAAATTTATGCAAAAGTGCACAGAGGTCCGCGCTACTCTGAGAATTCTCTATGTCTGACCCGGGGGTGAAGGCCCCGCGCGTGTCTCCCACAACCGAGGTGTAGTTCTTGGGGAATGTCGCGGAAAGCAGGGAGTTTGCCGCGCAAACGCCTTTCCCACGGTTTACTTGCGTAATTAACCAGCGTGTTATTAATCAAGGTCGTGTTTTCAGTATTCTTACTATTTCTTTTGTCTCGTAATAGATCTACATAGGTTTAATCATTAACACATTTATTGTTGGTAATATCTTTTGTATTTGCCGCTTGGTTAATTGACATGGAACATTTACACATATCTTTTGTAATTATATTTTCTAAAGGGACCGATAACTAAAAAACTAATTGCTTATGGTTTAATGGAGTCAGTGTGTGTTGGAAATGAGCGTGTAATGTATACCACATATTTTTACTAATAAAATGATAAAATACAAAATGTTGTATTGATTGTTGATTGCCTTACTGCAACACACTTTGTTGATTTGTTCGGACTGTTACGATACAGTGGAGGCACCGCCCGGATAGTGTGTTGGAGTAAGTTTTGTTTGTGGAAAATATGTCGGTGATAGATAGGAGAAAGAACGTTCGATTGGCGCATAGAGAATTTGCATTGCAAATCATAGAGGACGGTAATGGAAACGACGTGAGTGAAACAGATTTAAGAATGATTCAGTCACAGCTGAAGGAAAAGCAGAAGAAGCTTGATAAATTGGACGACGAGATATTGGGGTTAATAAGTGAGGAAGGAGAAGCCGATGATTGTGTAAAGGAAGGCAAAGAAGCGGGACAGTTTAGATCAAAAGTTCAGGCTGCTATAATACAAATCCAAGGTCGATTGGATGATAAGTTACAACGCAGTGGTTCCATTGACAGTCTAAGTTCTACAGCCACTTTCAATACTAGAAAGGTACGGGCAAGGTTACCTAAATTGGAGATGCGAAAATTCAGCGGTAAACCGTATGATTGGCAGGAGTTTTGGGACGCATTTCCCTCGTCAGTTCACGAAAATGAGGAACTATGTCAAGTGGACAAATTTACCTATTTACGCTATCTGTTAGACGAGCCTGTGAAAAAGGTTATTGCTGGGTTTTCCTTAACTGAAGCTAATTATGAAGCTGCAGTAGATTTATTGAAACAAAGGTTCGCAAAGCCAGTAGTGATAAAAAGATCGCATATCAATGAGCTAATGAATTTGCAACCTGTTTATAAAGAGCGCGATTTGGATCGTCTTAGACATTTCTACGATATGGCTGAGACACATTTTCGAGGGCTGCACTCTATGATGGTAGATGAGACCACGTATTCTTGTGTTGTCGTTCCATTGCTGCTCGACAAATTGCCAGAAGCGGTTCGATTGAGTATGTTGCGAGCGGTGAAGGGCTCTGAAGATTTACCCATTTCGTCTTTTTTGGAAGTGTTGAGAAACGAGCTTGAAGTACGAGAGTCGCACGTTTCAATCTTGAAGCCAAACCTTGCTGGTTCGTCTGGAATGCAGTCAATGATTGCTAGTGGAAAAGGCAAAGATTGGGTGAGAACATCGAGTGCCTTGCACAGCGTTGCAAAGGACCATCGATGCGCCTTTTGTTTAAAATTTCATGAAGAAATTGATTGTCAGAATGTAAAGGACTTTAGTGAACGTAAAAATATTGTGAAAAAATATGGTCGTTGCTTTCTTTGTTTAGCAAAGGGTCATTTATCCTTCAAATGTAGAAATAATATTTCATGCAATATTTGTAAGGGTAGACACCATAGTGCCTTATGTGAACAAGGTAATGCTAATTCTACTGCGTGTAAGGATGTCGGAAAGGTGAACACGAATACTTGCGTAGATAGTGTTGAATGTGGGGGGAGGGTAGCTCTCCAAACCGCGCAAGGTTATGTTAATGGAACGAGGAAAGTGAAAGTGCGAGTACTTTTTGATGGGGGAAGTCACAGGTCCTTTGTTACCTCCAATGTTGTGAACAAAGCAGGCATTTTTCCTTCTCGTAAGGAGAATTTGCGTATATGTAGATTTGGTGAGACTAATGTAGATGTTTCTGCAAAGGACATTGTTCAAATCACTTTGTCGTCTGTAGATAAGAAGTATAACATCCCATTTGAAGCTTGTGTTGTAGATTCCATCTCACAGCTGGAAAACCAACATTTAGAGATCGTAAAGAAGGATTTTGCTCATCTGAAGGACATTTGGTTTTCAGACGTTGATTCGAAAGAAGAGCAACTAAGCATACAAATTCTGATCGGTGCAGATTACATGTGGCGGTTTATGGAGGACGAAACGAGAAAAGGAGGTGTGAACGAGCCGGTCGCCGTACGAACAAGGTTGGGTTGGGTTCTTTCAGGACCACTTTCAGTTAAAGGTGAGATCGTTGATGTTACTTCTGTCAGCAATGTCAATATCAATTTTGTATCGGATAAGGAAACTAATGTGTTTAATGATAAGGCCAGTTTACAGGATCAGATCCACAAACTATGGGATTTAGATTCTGTCGGAGTACGGCCTACAACTGATGTTCATGAAGATATTGTGGATAATATCGAATTTACAGGCGAGCGTTACTCGACTAAATTGCCATGGAAGGAAGCCCATAAACCCCTTCCAACTAATTACGGTGTCAGTGTAGCGAGATTAAAGGGGCAATTATCTAAACTCAAGAAAAGCCCTGAAGTATTGCAAGAGTATGACAATATTATTAAAGGAGAACTGACACGCAAAAATAAGTTTGGCTAAAACGGTAGTTTGCGACAAGCAAATTCCAGGATCGAAAAAATTTTTTAAATCACAGTTACCGTTTTTGAAATACAGGCGTTTTAAGTTGAGAAACGACAATTGTTCCGACAACTTGAGACTCGAGGCGAAAATCGTCACGAGTGGACGATCATCTTTGACGTCACAAGTGACATGTTCTCAGCACGTATTGTGTTTCTCTATAGAAACCTTTAACAAAATGCTGCGGACAAATGTTTATTTTGTGCATGTGAAAGGAGCTAATTTTGGATTTTTGACACATAATTGACTTTTTCAATAGTTTGGGACTCTGAATCGGAGTTTTATTACACTGATTTCGAAACAAATGGAGAGTTTCAGCCGTCTGAGTTTTTGCTACCAACCAGCGTTGCCGCTTGGGCAGACAGTCGTCCCATGGCTCAACAGTGACGATATTGTAAACAAAGAACAGACTGGAAGTACAAACTGATATGGAATTTCTATTAGAAATAATGCTATTGCTACAATCTAAATGAGATCAGGTATCGTAAAACTAGAATTTTATTTCAGATTGAGGCGTCTTTAGCCAGACTGCTTTGTCTGTATGGCCTAAATTGGCTAAAATGCCCATGATGCCCTAAACGGAACTGCAAGTTATTAATT